AAACCTATTCTAATTGCTAAGGCCCCTATATGATGGTGTCCTTATCCAAGCGATACGACAAGACCCTATATTACCGAAAGCCAGGCGGCGAGTACTGAGCCTGCTTGCCGTGATGCCTGCAACGAGGGTGAAGGCAGATGCCATCGGTTACCATGTCGCCGCCTGGTCTCTAAAAGAAGAGGTGAAGCACCCTAAACCCTAAACCCTAAACCCTAAAACCCTAAAGCCCTAAAACCCTAAAATCCTAAAACCCTAAAACCCTAAACCCTGAACCCTAAAACCCTAAACCCTAAAACCCTAAAACCCTAAACCCTAAACCCTAAACCGGCTCCACAGGTGTGATGAAGGCCAGGGGCCCCAATTCAGAGCCCTCATGCAAAGGATCCTTAGTCCTCCCAGACCCCCGGACGGATCTAGAAAGTAGAACCCCTAATTTGGGACCCTATACTACTAAGGGCCCTTTATAGGAACCCCCATTAAGGGATCTACTTTTTGGATCCTCCCGGGGTCTGGGCTACCATCTTTGGAGGACCTTGAGTGAGCTGTGTCTTGAGGGGGTTTTAGGGTTTAGGGGTTTAGGATTTAGGGCTTTAGGGGTTTAGGGGTTTAGGGGTTAGGGGTTCAGGGTTTAGGGGTTTTGGAGTTTATGGTTTCGGGTTTAGGGTTGATGGGCTTCAGTTTTGATAGATTCAAATGTTTGAGGCTGATGGGTTAGGTTTTAGGATTGGATTACAGAGACTTGGGCCACATAGAGATGTCGGAATGAGTAGTAACAGTGTTCCCTTGTGGTCCCTACGACACTTCAACACCTACTCTGACGAAAATGAGGTCCCTAATCTACAGACCCCCATTGCTCCCCTAAAGGCTGAACTTTAACCCTAAACCCTAAACCCTGAACTTAGGGTCCAGGGTTTAGGGTTCCTAAACCCGAAAGCTTGAGCCAGAAACCCAAGCCCTAAAAGGAAGCCTTCACGCATCCTTTTAAGGGAAGCAAGCCTGGACCGGGGAATCGCAGCGCTTTGTGAGATCGTCGAAGTTGGGCTTAGGGCTTAGGAGTTTAGGGTTTAGGAGGGTACTACACAGACGCCAGTGTGCACTTGTGTGTGTGTATATTTGTTTGCATGCATGCATTTCTCCCGGCTGTAATCGTTCGAGTTCAAGTTCAGCCCTAAGCCCTAAACCCTAAACCGTGTTCGCGGTTCACAGATTTCGCGGTCAGTGTTTCGGTCGAGGCGGGTTCGAAGCTGTAGGCCTTTAGGGTAGTGCATTGCGTTTTTAATGTTAAGGGCTTCTTGTGTCCTTCTATAAACCGAAGACATTACACACCTCCCCCGGACCCTAAACCCTAAACTCGAAAACCTTGAATAACCTTGTCAACAACCCTAAACCACAATATACCCTGACAGAAACCCAAAGCCCTACAAAACCGAATGTGATTTCGAGAACCGAGAAACCCTGAACACAGACTCTTCTGTAGAGACGTGGCCGTCGTTATCAATCAATGGCCTTAAGCCCTGAACCCTAAACCCGAAACCCTAAACCCTGAACCCTAAACCTACACCCTGAACCCTAAAACCTAAACCCTGAACCCTAAAACCTCAACCCTAAACCCTAAACCAATGGCCCAGGCCGTTAGCGCCTCCCTGAGGGCAGGTGGCTGGCGGGTGACCCTACAGCTGCTTTCCGACGCTCAGACCGGCTTTGGGTTTAGGGGTTTAGGGGTGTAGGGGTTGAGGGGTGTAGGGGTTTAGGGGGTTTAGGGGGTTTAGGGTTTAGGGGTTCAGGGTTCAGGGTTTAGGAGTTTAGGGCATTAGGGGTTTAGGGGTTTAGGGGTTTAGTGTTTAGGGATTTAAGGTTCAGGGTTTAGGGTTTAGGGGTGTAGGGGTGTAGGGGTGTAGGGGTTTAGGGGTTTAGGGGTTTAGGGGGTTTAGGGTTTAGCGGGTTTAGGGGTTTAGGGTTTAGGGGTTTATATGGTTTAGGGGTTTAGGGTTTAGGGTCGGTGTTTGGAGACTTCGGGTTAACTCAAGAGGAGTTCAGCTTATAAAGCCGTCGAGAAGGGCTTCAAGCACTTAGTTTAGAGGCTCGCACGTCAGAGGCCTTCAGATTCAGAGCCTGACATCAAGTTTAGGGTTTAGGTTTAGGGTTTAGGGTTTAGGGTGTTTGGGGATATAGGGGCCTGATCTGAAAAGCAGTCCTTGCGCACTCTCGCATGCGGAAGTCAGGTCAAAGCCATCAGAATCCACCATTTTCGAAGCAGGTCCAAACAGTCCGGAGCTGCACAAACTAGTGTTGCATCATGTTCTTGCTCTGTAGCTTCCTAAACCCCTAAACTCTAAGTCTTTAGCCTTGCCCTAAGGCCCTAATCCCCCCAACAAGAAGCTGCCGAGGACGTGAGGGCAACAGAGGTCGGAGCTTCTGAGGTCTCCTTGGCCGTGGCTTCAGGTGCCTTTGAGACTTGGAATCCCTACAGAGCATTATAAGGCATAAGGAGCCTCTTGAGACGCCGCTGATACCATGATCTACTCCCCCCCAAAAAACCGAATTATAAAAATTATGAAGGTTCAGATATACGTCGTATTGCAGTTGCTTTCGGTTTTTTGTTGTGACCTGGGGAACCAGAAGGTTCGGGCCTTCTCCCCTGGCATGGCTACGGGATTTGCTATGGCCGAAGTGGGTGGTAGTGTCAAAATAACGAAACCCACACCCCAACCCCGGGGGCCCCAAACCCTAAGACCTAAAGCCTTCAGCCTAAGGAGAGGGCACAGCAGGGGCGTTGGCTCCTGCAGACGTTGATGGAGATGTCTCGAAGAATTGAGAGCTCACTGTTTGGGGTTTAGGATTTAGGCGAGCTGGGTGGGTCCAAAAGCCACGGTGGCCTCCAGGGAATGTGAGGCACTCTGAAGTGGAGAGAGTGTGTCGCGAATCTGTGGGTTTGCGTCGTGCCTAGCTTCGTGGTTTTTGCATCCAGGTCCGAGGTTCTTGGATTCTGAATGCGACGGTTCCCTTGCTAGTAGGAACCTGCTCATCGGTCGAAACGGGGAGTCCTCATTGAACCTGACACTCCCTCCTGCAGCTGTGGCAAATCACACCAGCAGAGCAACCCAACCGTTCCCCCCTGTTTTCCCCTTTCCCAAAGGGTCCAGGAAACAGTACTTAAAGGATCATGGGACTTAGTAAGTAGGGTTATAATCAGGGTAACTATACTTATAACCCCAATTAGGGGACTTATAACCTTACTTACTAAGTCCCATGATCCTCCAAGTACAGTACATATTTTGGGGCCCAAAGATTCCACCAACAGTAATTCGTAAACCCTCAGCAGTAGCCAGTATGTTGGTACTTGGACCCTTTGGGTTTGTGCTTTGCTATCTGCGGCGATGCCTGGGGCGGTGTCGCCAGTCAGGTGGATGATCCTCGAAGCCCAGTTAATGTAGTGGGCTAAGCGGGCTGCGGACACAGTGTGCATTATTGGGCCATGGTGAACATAGGCATCATAAGCTGCCTAGCGCGACTGGGTTGCGTGCGTCAGAAGGCAGGAGCATTAGGTTTCCAAGCTGGTCATCGATTTTGAACTAAACCGCCAGTCGCTTGGCTTTGAGTCGGTGTCCTGCGGACGACTTGTTGTGTTGCTGTTGCGGATCCTTCACATAGGGATGCTACACCGGTACTATCGGAGTGTTGAGAGTCTGGAATTTTGACTTGGGTCATTATTATCTCCGGTCCAACGACTAGAGCCCGCGGCTGGATCCGAGAATTTGTCCAAGTTTCAAGCCTCGCCGGTGTCCTTATGCAACGAATGCCGGGATGCAAGCCCATGCATGGGTTGTAAGCAATGACGATGGAAGTCATGTGCCCTCTGGAAAATGAGTTTTTATGAAGTGATTGAGGTCTGCTTGTGTCCCCCCGTGCTTCCATTGCGCGGACCATGTGTCCAGCAGAAGCACGAGGTTGTGCTCGGAGAGCGGTTCCATGACGGCCTTGCATGGAAAGGACATGGGGCACGACCCACCTGCGTCGTCCTAGAAAAGGATTGCTAAGGGTGCGTAGAACTCGGCTTCGCCTCGTGTTGCAGTTCTATTTCATCGATCGCACTGGATCCAGTTTGGCTGCAGATTCAGTCTCAGAGCTTAAGATCTGAAGTTCTGTAGGTTTGATTCGGCCTCGAAGTCCGGAATGTAGAGGCTACGCGCAAAGTTTCCATACCTTGAAACTCAAGAACCTCTTTCTTTAAAGTCTTGTGCGAACTTTGGCAACCTCGCAAGGTCTTACCCTCCTCGCCCGAAGGATCCTATGTAACGATGTACTTCTACGGTGCGGTGCTTACACAAAAAAGCACCAACCAACAAGGAGAACACCTATGTTTTCTACCGTGGACAAGGACGGATCCAAAAAATGTAGAAGCCTAAATTAGCAATATTATTCCTTAGGGTTCCTTATTATACTTATACCATTAAAGGAGCCCAAAACCCTATTCTAATTATAAAGGCCCCTACATTACCCGAACCGGCAAAGGCCGAGGACCTTGAGCTTCCCAGAATTTGCCAGACACTAACTCACGACTGGAATCTGCCCACGCTCATCGGAGCCTTATAGCCCTAAGGCTGTATGTAGCCATACAGTATATACTTAGGACCCCTTTTTGGCCCAAAGTATATACTATAAGGGTACAGGAACCCTTAGGCTAGAGCCTGTTTTGTTGTCGAGTTGAAGAAGACGCTTTAAATAGTCCCAGCGCAGCGTGCCAGACCGGTGCATCCACTCGTGCCAGCACCGCCGAGACCAAAAGCCATGGCTCCCTGGACGCAACGTAAAGGACCCGCATGTAGAATCAACATGGATGTTTCCGAAAATAGGGGGTACCCTATTTTGGAGAACTTAGTAATGATCCTACTATTTAGGGTACTACATTAGGGTCCCCCATTTTCGGAAACCCCCACATATTTACACAAACCAGCTGCCTGGAACTGCACAGGGATCCTTAATACCCTTGCCCTAAGCCCTTAAACAATACCGGGCTCATGACATTGTGATTTGTTGAACTTCGACGACGTTTGCGCGCATCCCTGACCAATGGAAGTCACCAATACTCAGCCTAGCGCTCCTGACCAGTGCAGGGCACGGGTACTTAGCCTAATGGCCCAGCAATGCTAGCAGTAAGCTCCACAAACCGCCCTAAGCCCTAAACCCTGAACCCTAAACCCTAAACCGTACAAGCCCCTCGAAACCCACAGCATGGATCCTGAGGCGACGAACCCAAGGCCAAAAAGGCCTGGATCCTGGACTGCACTCTCAGTGGTAGGATGCACCCCTCCGGCCCTGTGGATCCTGATCTTTTGAAGCCTATAGAGTGGTAATGTAGGGCCCTGGCGGTTGCAATAGGGTTTTGGGGCCCATTATACTGTAATGATAATAAGGAACCCCAAAACAGCATTGGTAAGTATGCTTCAGTTTTTCGAGGTCTAGTTTCTGGACTCGGAGTGGCGGTTTTTGCATGTACCACCGTAATTATAGATATTTAAGATCCTTTGGGAAAGCGAGATCGCCTGCGATTGCAAACAAGCCTCCTTCGAAGTCTAGTGAGATGTTGGGTCGAACACTTTGATCGCATGCTTGGTAGCCGTCGAACCTACCATCTCGGCTGCAAAAGCTACGATGGCGACTGCGGCCACGGTACTGTTATTATTGTTATGTTTATTGCTATTATTGTTATTACTGCTAGCATTCGCGAGGTTCATCCTTCCCACCCAACCAAGAAACAGCCCGGCAGGCCGCCAAAGCCAAAGCAGGGCCTCGGGCGGCAGCGAGCAAGGCTGGATTTGCACGGCCGTAGCTGCAGTAGTAGTAGTAGTAGTAGTAGTAGTAGTAGTTGTAGTAGTAGTGGTAGTAGTCGT